ATTGGGCTCTGCCTCTGTCCCATGCCTTGTTTCCCTTCCACTGCAGATGGAGAGAGGGACATCAAGCCCTATTTAACTAATGACTGCAGATGTGAAGCTCTGTTAGGGCCAAGTATTACTGACATCTCCACTAGTTATTGGCAGCTCATGCCTTTTCAGTACAAAGCTGCTCCCACAGCTCCACATTAAGGATTGACTGCCCCTCTCCCCACCAATGGCAGAACACAGCAGAGGTAAGTCTGTCATGCAGGCAAAGGGAGGACGGTCCTTTAGCTGGAGATGGGATAGGATCAGCTCTTTCTGGAAGCTCCATAGGAATCTGACCTCCCAGTAACACCAAGCTATCCCCTCCACTATCCACAGTGTTCCCTAGAGCAGTGGCTCTCAATCTTTCCAGATTAGTGGGCCACCTTCAGGACTCTGATTTGTGTTGAGTACCCCCAAGTTTCACCACACTTAGAAACTATTTACCTACAAAATCAGACATAGAAATACAAAAAAGGGTCACCACACATTGCTACAGAAAAATTGTTCAAATTTCTCATTTTTACCATACAATTATAAAATAGGAGGTAGGAGCCAGTTCACATGGGGGGTTGGCTTTTAAGTGTGGAGCTGCCTGATCCCCACCCCTGCTGCCTTCCACAGGCTGGATCTTCCCTCCCCCACTGTGTGTAAACATGTAGCCGCTGAAAGTTTCAGTGGTCACACGTTTACACAAATAAACGCATTTTAACATCCCTCGTTTGTACTGATTTTGCGAGTTTTTATGTAGCCTGTTGTAACACTAGATAATTATGTAGATGAACTGATGTGCCCCTGGAAGACCACTGTGTGTCCCAGAGATACGTATACCCCTGGTTGAGAACCATTGCTCTAGAGAGCCATGCAGCTTCTCACAATTAACCAACATCTAAAATGTTATTTTACAGTAACAGAACAAAAGGGGGGATATTGCACTGTGATATGGAGGGACTTAGCAAGATCACTCCATTCAGGACACTGTGCTTGTTTAATAAGACAGACCGATCATCAATGTCAGAAAAAAAGCAAACCAGTTTAACCCCCACTTACTGTCCATTTACAATACTCACTCTGTCTGTTAAAGGAGGAGCGCTATAATGCAAACCGCTAGTATCCTGAGGAGAAATACAGAGACTCATCTCACATAAAGATGATCATTTTTAAAATGGACTTTGATCAGAAAAGAAGCTCTGTCTAACATGCCCATCACTGTGTTATCTTATTATTATAGCAGCATTTGTTTGCCAGTTTGCCACACCCACAACTGAGAACTTATTGCACAAGAAACTATGCAAATTGTAAAAAAAAAAAAAAAAAAAAAAAAAAAAACAGCTGCCCTGAAGACCTTACATTAAGTAGACAAAAAGTTGGAGAGGAAATAGAAAAGCTAAATGATTTGCCCAAGGTCACACAACTGACAGAACCAAGAATAGAAAGCAGGTTCCTGAGACACAATCCAGTGCCCTTTCTGCTGTCACTCTGCAACACAAAGCTACAGTATGTCTCCATCCCTTCCATAATTTCTTTATTAAAAGAGTAATTAGAATGTTGAAATAATATCTTCCCCATCAGGATTATCCTGTTCTTGTGGCAAAAGAACTACAAACAAAATTATGTATCACATTAACTCCTATGCCTACTTACCCACATATAAAACAGCACTTGAGTTTTACTGTTACTGACTAGTTCCTTATGATTTTTTGGATTAAAAACAATGTAGCTCTGAAATTAAAAAAATAAAGTTAGAGTAAATTTGACATTGGCCAGCGTATGACATTCACACATGTCCATTGTAATGCTCTGCACACCCACTTGTGCTTCCCTAAATCCATTCTTCTTACAGATGTAGTGTGTTAATCTGGAGAGAATTTGACCCACAAGGCAATCAATGGCCTGTGAACCAAACATGGCTTGCCAGGGTTAGCCAGATGTTTTATTTACCTGCACATCTGCAGGTATGGCTGCTGCAGGAAGTGGTGTCCCGGTCTGTGCCATTTCCCACTGCTCCCATTGACCGTGACTGATGAGCCGCGGCCAACAAGAGCTACAGGTAAATAAAGCATCTGATGGCTTCATGGGCTAATCCTGGTGAACTGCTTACTGCCCACCTATCCACTAAGGCCTTCTATGTCAGTATGGCAGTGTAAACAGGTTTGTGAGTGTGACCCCTATGAGGAATGCCTTCCTGGGTAATAACAGAGAAATAGCCATGTTAGTCTGATCTTGGTAAAACCAAAAAGAAAAACAAAAGTCATGTAGCACTTCATATGATCTGAAGAAAGCTCATCACCTAATAAACCATCTTGTTAGTCTTTGAAATGCTACATGACTTTTGTTTTTGGGTTGTTGTTTTTTTCTCTTTTACCTGGGCAGTGTAAAGCTGGCATCAGAGCATTACTTTTCACCTGCTGCTGAAAGGTCACCACAGCAGAGAGTCTTGGGCATAGCTGAAATGCACTGCTCTATTGCTATTCTCAGGGCCTATAGAGAATCATCATGGGGAGCAGTGAGCATTTCTGAGGTTGCTCTAATGTATAATGGTGTCTGCACACTGCCCCACACAGCAATGCAACAACATCATTGTCCTACATCCATCCCTCTTCCTACCCCAAGTGCAGGAATTAGGTGCAAATCAGGCACACTGTGTTTAAAAATGGTTTGTTTCCACTCTCAATTCCTTTTCATAATCAGAATCACTCACCTGATAACCAAATGCAGGAGGCAATTCTATACTAAACATAGGTTTGTCTTCAGGTGACGTCCACTTCCAAATGCAAACTCTCTGGCAGACAGGGGAAAGCAAGGAAATATCAATGTGATTTACTGAACCCCTATTGAACTCAGTGGGCCTAATCCTGCTCATTCAAACTGCAGCAGCTCCAGTAGAGTCAGTGGGTTACATGGGGGAGCAAGAGAGCAGAATGAAGCCTAGTAGGGTCTTGCTGGTTAGTCTGGAATTTTTAAAAATTGATTACATAAGATACTGATTGTATGCAGTCTCAGATAAATACTCAGCATGGTCAGACCTGCAGTCAGACACACTTTTTGAACTGGAGATCAACAAAATCTGAGTTATGTTTCCCACCATTATAAATCACTTTTGCTGCAGCTACATTTGAACCATGTTTGCATGTGGCTCTTTGCCAGGGAAGACTGGCCTAAGTTTACAGAATAATGCAAGAGGTCATAGCATTAGGTTTTCACTTCTGCAGGCCTGGATTCCACTCTTGACTCAGATGAATTCAAGTGAGCATGAATTTAATTATCTCCAGTAGTATACACGGAAAATGTGGATACAACATTTGCATTTAGTATGACCTTTCACTAGCTTTAGCCCTGGCATAATTTTGGATTTGAACTGCAAAGCACAACTGACTTAGCCGAGAACTCTCATTACATCACTGCTAACCAGGTCTGACATTATACCCCTTCTTGTATATTGGAGAAGACTGACAGTATGATCTGAAACTAAACAAAGAAATATATGTTACATTTCTGCCTGAAATGTAAGGTAACTGGATTTCATGTTGCTAGTTAATGTAATCAAGTTATTTTAATTAAAGATCTGTCAAAATCAGAATAGTTTGTCCAGACGTATATTCTGAATTTTACAGTTTAAGATAAATGAAAATTCTGAGTTAGTAAAACCAAAATCCAGATGACATGATTTTGGAAAGCCAGTCCTCATCCTGCCCAGTTTTACTCCACTCTCGTTCATATCCTCCTATCAGTTAAACTGGTGCAAATTTGCAGGGGTCAATCTTCACAGGAGTCAGAGAAAAGATTTTCTTTACCTGTATTTTGCTGGCACCAACTGTTACCAAATATTTAGCATCTTGGGAAATAGCAATAGCACCAACACCATCCTCTGGATGACTACCAAATATTGTATGCACAGGAATGCTGCAGAACAATGCATACACAGTCACTAATTACAGAGAAAACTATTTACGATATTACTTTTAGCTATCATTCCATCCCTTCCCACTCACTACTTTTCACAAAAGTCTATAGCCTGTCATTTTGGAATCACCCTTTCACCATCATTGGGGGCAAAACCACCACCTGAGCTGTTGCAAACTAATTCAAGTAAGGTTCCAAACACCACAAGTCTTGGAATCTTGTTTCTATAGTACCCTTAAAGCAGGGCAAATTATTCATCAACAGGTCTGCTTTTTCTGAAAGTATTGTCATATACAACTCCCACCCACTCCCCTCAGAATCAGGAATCCTGTTCTAAGCTGCTGTGTTGCTTTCAGAGCTGTGATTTCGCTCATCTGATGGTAATTTCTGAACAATGCACACTGATGGTTATGTTTCTAGGGCAGCTCCTGCTTCTTGCAGATTTAGAGTCTGACTGGGACTGTTCTGGAGGGAACTGCAGCAGCGGTAACCAGGAAGGAATGAAAGGGAAGGTTTACAGCCAACAACCAATGCCTCACAGTACTCCTCATTCTAAGAGCTAGGACCAAGATTTGAAAAAAAAAATAGGTGAGTAAAGTCAGAGTCCAATTATGAATGTAAGAGCCCAACCTTAGGCATCCATGTTTGAAAATCTTGGCCTAGGGAAGTTTTGATCCCTCACATGGACCAGTCTGCACCAGGATGATTTGAAACTGAAGTGATTACTCCACTAAGGGAATCTTTGCTGCTTGGCCTACTTTTCCATCCTGAGCTCTTGGACTATGTAGTTATTTTAGTCCAAACTCAAAGCTCAGATAGCTTACTAACTGTTCTATTGGCTCAAGAAATTTTCCTATTTCTAGACTGGTGGGTCTGAATTTTGGTTTTTGCTAATACTGCCACGAGAAGGTTACTTGGCAGTTATCCAGAGTGCTGAGACAATGTCATTTCCTGAATCATCTGGAATGTTTGCTACACAGAGACAGAACATGCTCAAACAGGGGCTTTTTACATACCTGGGAAACTTACCCTGAGAAGGCATCCCACACAATGATTAGATTATCAGGTCCTTGATCAGCTGTTGCAACCCATCGTCTATCTTCGCTTATACACAGACAAGAAATAGAATTAGAGTGACCCTAGGGAGTCAAAATAAGACACGTGCCTTGAAAGATCTATGATCAACATTTATTTAAAGCCATCATTCAGCAAAAGTGTAATAAAACTGCACATGCTGAGGTGATACACTGAACCTGCAAAAGTCTCTATGCCCATATCTGTCAAGATCCTCCTCTGTTTCCACTTTCAATCCCACCTTATCTAGGAGCACTTCCTTCTTCACCCATCTGTAATCCCTCGGTCCCTCTCTCCTGAACTTATTTCCCTGTGTTTTTTCTTGCCATACATTTACACTGTAAACTGTCTAGGGCAGAAAACAGAACATGACTTTTCAGTATTTATAAAGCAGAGAATAAATATACAGTGCTCTCTGCATTTTTATCATTCATACCAGAATATTAAAACTCTTTGATAAAGCTTTAGCCTGGTACAGCTAAAATTCATAGTTCAGACATAAGGCATATGGTTATAAACAGAGGTTTTTTTGTAAAAACAAACGAAAAAAAGAAGTGCCGGTATTAGCGTTGCCAGATGGTTTTGTTGAGAAAAAAAAAGCACCTGGGCTGTCAAGTGATTAAAAAAATTAATTGCAATTAATTGTGTGCACTGCCCCTTTGAAACGCTGCAGCAGCATTTCAAAGGGGCAGCACTGAGGAAGCCCAGGATCAACTGGAGTCCTCAGCTGACCCTGGCTCTATGCACTGCCCCTTAGAAAAGCAGCCCCGGTATATCCAGGGGGCAGCACCGTGGCAGCCTGAGGTCAGCTGGAGTCCCCAGATGCCCCTGGGCTCTGAACAGCACTGCCCCTTTGAAGCACTGAAGCGGCACTTTGAAGGGGCAGCGCAATGCAGAGTCAGGGATTAGCTGGAGTGCCCAGCTGATTCCTGGCTCCATATTGTGCTTCTCCTTTGAAGCACTGGAACGGTGCGATTAACATGTTAAAAAAATTAACTCGTTAATCCTGCCCTGTGTTAATCGCAGGCATTAACGCACTTCAGTTGACGACCCTAATCCCTATAGATCAGGGCTTCCCAAACTATGGGTCGGGACCCAAATATGGGTCGCCATTACATTTCAAAAGAGTCGCCAAGTGTCACTCCAGGTGGCTCTGCCCCCTCTCTTCCTCCTTTTTGAATTGCCCTGGGTCACCAAGTCTTCCTGAATTGTCAAAATGGGTCCTGATCTGGAAAAGGTTGGGAACCGCTGCTACAGATCATGAAAACACAGCAGAACTATGTCAATGTCTGGAATAATTCAATAAATTCTTCTATATAATCAATATATTTGTGTCCTAATCAAAAGAGTGCTTTTTTAGCTCAGCCTCAGCTGTGAGCAGCACAGGGCCGTAGGGGGGTTGATTCTGCCATGGGCAGTGTAGAGTTCAGGGAGGCTCAGCTCCCAACTGCAGGTGGCACAGGACTCAGGGATGGGAGTCAGCCCCCAAGCTCACGGGAGGGGTCAGCCCCTAGCCTGGGGGCAAGGTAGACCCCACTATGGGCAATGCAGAATTAGAGAGGGTAGACTCAGCCCAAGAATCAGATGTGGGGGAAGGGTCAGTCCCAGCCCCAGGAGGCAAAGGGAGGGTGGCTTGAGTGAGTCCTGTGGTGCGGGGGAGAAAGGGGGACAGTTTGGTTAAGCCGCCCCAGGCTGTTTTATTTAAAAAAATATGGTCATCTGAGAAGGGACAGGGACAGGTGCCTTCTTGTTTACTTCTCCCTTGAAGCTGGGCCATCTTCAGGTTCCCCCCTTTTTTCACTGCTTCTTTTTCCTGTGCACCCTCTGGTGGCAGTTTGTATTACTGCACTTTACCAGAGTGTTTTCTGGAGCAGTTCATGCTGGTTTGCCACCCTCTGTGATTAATGTGCATTAATTTTTTTAATACGTTACTTCTGCTCTGCATGAATCACAGGCGTTAACACCCATTAATTGACAGCCCTATTACTTAGGCAGAGCCCAAAAACGTGGTAATCACTGCAGCCATATGCACAATTTATAAATATTTTCCTGTTAAGTATCATTAACGTCTGAAGAGTTGAACAACACCGAAGTACAAGTAAGGAGCCAATTCAGTTAAAGATAAACAGAGACTCACCAAAGCGCTCAACTGGCTTTGAACAGTGAAAATGCAACTGATGCTGGGTAGATAGGTCGTCAGAATGTTTTTTTAGATCACAATATGCAAGTCTCCTACTTCCCTTGCTATGAGCAGGTTCTACACCCGTAAGAAATGGATTCTATGCCTGCAGAAAATGCAGTGGGATTCTCACCCATAGGATAGGATTCTCTCAGTGGGGTTCAGTGCCTGTGGGAAGGCTGTTCTCTGGGATTGAGTTTCTGTACCTGTAGATGATATTGCCTGTTTCCGTGTACATCGTGGATCACAGCAGAGTGAGAGGAAACATATAGAATCACCCTTTGTTCTTCATCAAGCAGGCTGTAAACAGGGAGGCTGCTATTGTAACCAAATGCCCAAGACAAACTCTGTAAGGAAAACAGTAACTTCTTTACGCCAAGCAGTGACAGAATTATCATAAAACACATTGGCTACGTCTACACTGCAGGCTTCTTGCACAAGAACTGTTTTGTGCAAGAGTTCTTGTGCAAAAGGTCTTCCACAAGAGCGCGTCCACACTGCCATGTGCTTTTGCGCAAGATGCTCTCTTGCGCAAGAAAGCACAGATGTCCATTTTAGCCACAGGGCTTTCTTGCGCAAGAAATTAATTTGTGGAAGAGCTCTTGAGCAAGAAGGCTCATTCCTCATGGGGAGAGGAATAACTCTTCCTGAAGAAGCCCTGTTTTCTGACTCTGTAATGTAAATTTACTTGCGTGCATGCAGTGTAGACACCCAGCAAGTTTTTGCGCAAGAACAACTGTTCCTGCGCAAAAAGCCTGCAGTGTAAACATAGCCAATCTCTTACTTTTAGATAGCATTTGAGATCTTAAAGGAACACAACATGCTTCAATTATAATCTCCTCAGTCATGACTGACATCCTGCCACCTTTAGGGAAAAGGACAATACCACACTTGGCCAAGAACACTGCAACAAAACCCTCCTAATAATAAGTTGCTCCATGACTCATTAATGCTGTCTTGATTGGCAGAAGAGTGAAAATGCAGCTGATACTAGTGATCTGTGACAGAGCCAAAAGACATCAGAATAACCCCTAACAAGGATTTCAACCTCTTAGAACATAAGAACATAAGAACGGCCGTACTGGGTCAGACCAAAGGTCCATCTAGCCCAGTATCCTGTCTACCGACAGTGGCCCAGCACCAGATGCCCCAGAGAGGGTGGACCGAAGACAATGATCAAGCGATTTGTCTCCTGCCATCCATCTCCAGCCTCTGACAGACAGAGGCCAAGGATACCATTTTATCCCCTGGCTAATAGCCTTTTATGGACCTAACCTCCATGAAATTATCTAGCTTCTCTTTAAACTCTATTATAGTCCTAGCCTTCATAGCCTCCTCTGGCAAGGAGTTCATTTCCCTTTTATCAGTCTCCTGTAGCTCTCTCACCTGACCCTGTCACTATTATTTTCAGTAGAAAAATCAAAACTATGTCTCTTGAATCTAAAAGATTACTTTGTCTGTGATGAGCTGGTCCTTTTCACTAGCATGACGTTTCCCATTCCCTTGGTCCTGTTTCGTATAATACTCACAATTGGATGTGTTTTGATGTGCTCGTTCTCTTCGAACAACAAACCAGGGGTGGCTGAGAACACAAGCGACGACTCCTCGGCAAGAGTAGAGCTGGCAGTGATGGGTGCTTCTAGGGATTCTGTTTCTTCACAGCTCATTTCAGCACCTGCTTCTATGCTCAGGATTTCCTGATCTGCTGAGTTCTCTTCGTCTTTGTCCCTCAGATTTTTCCGGTCACTTTCTTGTGCTTCTTGGCCTATTTGCTGCATTCCTTGTTTGAGATTTGTGGAGCTTGATAGTCTAGCAGGAGCTTTGCTCTCCCATTGCGGCTCTGTGGGCACTTGCTGTTCATCTTGTCCAATATCTTCTAATATTTCTGATACTACTGAAGTTTCTTCTCTTGCCTCTGATGGACCTTCAGTGAGATCAGTCACAGTTTCCTTAAAAACAAAGACAGACTTCAGTATACACTTTGCAGAATGAACATTGTATCATCTCTTCCATGTTGCATTGTCTCCCTCTCCACCTCTGTAGCTCATCCAATCATCATGCAGTTGATTGACATTAATCTGAATTTTACAATCCTGTTGGTTATTCCAGTACTATCAGTTCTATATTGAACTCTAGACACAGCACAAAGAAAGAATCCATTTCTGAGGTGTGACATCAATAAAGTCCTCTGTTTGTTTTAAAAACCTTCCTTATATTTAATCCGGATAAACTGATAGAAAATGTCTCTCCTCTCTATATTCCTTCTGTTCATGCAGTCCTGGTCTCCTCTAGATCTCTTATTTCAGTCTCACTGCTGTTAAGGAAAGAGATTTCTCTGTTGTAACACAATCTAGACCACCTTTCTTGAATTTCTGAACAACTCTCCATCAATGCTTCCTCTAATTTTTTCCATTTTTGTGCAGAAGCAATGTTGTTATATGCATTGAGGCATGTGTGGATGTGCACCACCAGTAGAAACATGCTATTGGCTCTAGCAAAGCACCCAGAGCGCCCAATCAGCTGGGCAGCACCTAGCTTTCTCCTGGGTGGCTGCCCAAGCACTCAGCTTACTGGAAACACATTTCTTTGTATCTTTTCTAAGCTCAAATGAACACACATTTTTCTCTTTGCCACAGACATATTACATTACATGCAAAACCATTAGTGATCATATTTATAGTATCACAAATGGCCACAATGCTTTAAAAGGAACAAATATCATATCAATGCTAAGTTAAGAAAAATAAAATAAAATAAAATAAAATAAAATAAAATAAAATAAAATCTGAAAATGGAAAGGTTAAGGATTTGCCAGTAATTTTAACTTGGCTGCAGTACATATCATCTGCATGGCATGCTACACATTTAACAACAGGAATGCTAACACTGTCATATAACACAGTATTTACCAGGAAAAATAAGAACAAACATTTTGCTACCTCATTATTTGTCCCCCTTTCTAGATCATTAAGAAACTACCATGTTGCCATGATGCATTTTGACCATCTAATTCTACTCTTTGTTTTCAGTCTCATAGCCAGTTTTTGATTCATCACAATACTTTGCTGTTCAGGACAACTTAAACTTCTTTAGCAGCCTCTTGTCACAGAAATACACCTGGAGTTTGGAGTTTCTAGCTTTCACTGTTTCTGAGCTACATGCATGTCAAAATTTCATGGAAGCATACAGAATAATCTAGGTTTCCCTCATTCATAACTAAAACACTGATCTAAATTTCCAAGCACAAACATAACTGGACTGAAATTAAGCAGAGTAGGCTAAATGGAAACTACTTCTTAGCTATAGGATTTCATCTTAACAATAGAATTTACTACTGGAAATAATAATGTCTCCCTTTACTGTTATGTTCCATTGAACTCTGTGAGCCTGACTCTGTGGAAGAAAAAGAATAGAATCTGACTATTGCTGATGCTTTATTTAAATCTATACAAATGCAGTGTGATTCAGTAAGCACAAAAAAGACTCCATAGAAAATATCAGAAATAAAAAGGTGCACTAAATGGAATACACCCTTCCTGTGACATCACAGCTATCCAAGCTGGAAAGCTGGCAGTAGGAAGTCTATTGTATGATGTCCATACTTACATGTGAACTTACTGTGAGACTCAGTTCGTTCTCTTGTCTCTCAGGAGTGGCAACATCCACTGATAACTTGTCTGCTGGGAGCTGGGGCTCCATTTCCATATTGTCTGTGGATTCTGCCTCACCCGCTAGCATGTCAGCTGGCATTTCAGTGACCTGCTTGGGTATTTCAGTTTCCTGAGTACCTTGTTCATCTTGTGGAGTTTTTTCTGAAGCTTCATTTCCTTCTATATTGCCTTCTGCTGGTTCCTCCACTGGATTTTCATTAGAATCATCAGCCATCTTCCAAAAGCTTCCTTCCAAAAAAAAGTTTATTAGATTTTCTTCCCTGACATCCCTTGCATTTGACCTTTAGATCAAAGTCCATTCCCCTGAAAAAGTGGTAGTATAGTCTAACTAGAGCTGTATCAGATGGGAAACCAATAATACCTTTGATCTTGGGCAAAATCCACAAGAGAAAGGAGTTGGGGATGTAGAGTTGGTCCAAAATATTAGAACTTCCTGATGGTTTGCAACAATTGCCCAAGAAGGATGGCAGAGAACTGAATGTAGGAGTATGGGGATCTATTTTACACGAGGCTTGGTGTCCTAGCCAGAACTATCACCCCCTATCACTTCTATGAGCACTAAAATTCCTTGAAAGAGGAAGACAAAAATGAACATAAACAGCATGTTAGATTTTCAGACCATATTCACTTAGGGTGTGTCTAGACTGGCAAGATTTTGCGCAAAATCTTGCTACCTGTCTACACTGGCTGCGAGTATTTGCGCAAGAACACTGACTTTGTACTGTACAAAATCAGTGGTTCTTGCGCAAATACTTTGACACTCCCACTCAGGGATAAGCCCTCTTGCGCAAGTATTCGTGTGCAAGAGGGCCAGTGTAGACAGGCAAGTTAATTTCTTGCTCAAGAAAGTCCGATGACTAAAATGGCCATTGGAGCTTTCTTGCGCAAGAGAGCGTCTACACTGGCACGGATGCTTTTGCGCAAAAGTATCTGTGCCAGTGTAGATGCTCTCTTGCGCAAATACTTTTAACAGAAAAACTTTTCCGTTAAAAGTATTTGCGCAAAATCATGCCAGTATAGACGCAGCCTTAAAATCCCAGAAGTGGTTATATGGCATGTGAGTAGTCATTTAGTCCAGCTCAAATGACCATATGTTCCTCTATTCAGTCCTGCTTGTATTTGAAGTGTCTGTAGTCCCCATGCGAAGAGATATTCTCTCTTAGCCTTGTACCTCGTCATTGTGTCTGTGCATAATAATAATTTAGGGAAGGGGCGGGGGGAGATTGGTAGTAATATTGTTCAGACACAGATTAGTTTTTGGCTGACTTTGGTATGTTAATTCATGGCCAAACCAGGGCTGAAGTTCAGATCAACAGCACAGGAATCCTGCAAATAAAGAGCTTTTGAAGATTTCTGTCCTGATGAGATTTCGGTTGCATCCAAACTGGATGCAGAATACAGTTCTCTTATTCTTGTAAATACCACTTTGACCAAAACATTCAAATCAGACATAATCACTGACCTCACAAATTAAAAAAACAAGGTTTGGTTTTGGCCCATTCCCTCAGATCAACAGCACAGGAATCCTGCAAATAAAGAGCTTTTGAAGATTTCTGTCCTGATGAGATTTCGGTTGCATCCAAACTGGATGCAGAATACAGTTCTCTTATTCTTGTAAATACCACTTTGACCAAAACATTCAAATCAGACATAATCACTGACCTCACAAATTAAAAAAACAAGGTTTGGTTTTGGCCCATTCCCTCCCATTAAAGGAGAATTTTTAAAAATACGTATGTTTTAGTAGTCTGATGGAATATATATTTCCTCTACAGATAATGCCATATGAAGGGCTGACAGCCATCAGTTAGCCATGTCCAGAGGAAGACATTAACTACACCAGAGGCAGGAAATCTCTTGCTTCCTCCCGACTTCAGTTCAAATATCATATTGTACATACACATACCTGCATATACCAGGAGGAGAGACGGAGAGTTATATGGGCCCATGGTGCCAGTGTTCTAGCAATATTCAAAGGGCTCCTCCAATGTTCAAGACCAGATCCCTCTATTAGCCCCACCTGCTGTCCCCACATATCTGCTCTCCCCCAGCATCCCTGACTGTTGTAATAGTTCAGGACAGCGATACTGTAAATTTAGGATTCACTGGTGTGGTGTCCTGACAGGTCTCTTGATCAGCCAGTGATGATAAACATTTGGCTGCGTGCATTTTCATATGCTCCCTCAGTATATCATGCCAGCTCTGTGCAGGTAGCTAGTATTGTAGACTTCATAAGAGCCCCCAAAGACCACAGACTCACATAAGATATGAAGGCATATTGTCAAATGAAGTCAGGTATATTGTCAAATGAAGTACATTAATAATTGTTGGTAGCCACATGGCCTCTGAGCCCCTATGTATTTGTACCTGGGACAATGGACATAGCTCAGTCAATAGTACGGATTTCACTATCACCCCTTCGGCTGGCCAAAGAATTAAGTGAGGTACCCCAACATTTATAGACAGAAATGAACAATCTATGATAAACACTTACATATTAATGACAAATTTGGTACCTCCCCTTGTATGTTCCTCCAAAGCATTCCTATTCACTCCCCATTTACGCTTTCACTCTTCTTGTTTCAAACTATTTGATCATGTACTCAACAAGGTGTTCCTGCACTCTCCTGATGGAGTGTATTTACATACTTTATGTGCTTTTATCAGTGCTAGCAGTTCTAGTGCTGAGACACTGACTTGCAGGCAAATGTCTTCTTTTGACACGGCCCATCTATTGCTCATAGTATAACTCTTGCTTATTTTGGTTCAAGCACCAGGCCCATGTTTCAGGCTCTTTCTTTCTCCTTCACTTGTGTCCTGGGCAGCGAGTGGCTGCCTTGGTGTTTTGTGCAGCACTCCCTCACTAACAGCTATAACAAATGGAGTGGTGGCAGCAGCAGGCTGAGGCAGAAGTGGTGTCAGCAGCAGGCTGAGGCAGCTGCTGTGTCTGTGGAGGGAGAGAGTGCACACACAGAGCAGGCAAGGGGGATTCCTGGACTTGAGAGGGATCCAAGGAGCATGTGCAGAGAAAGTGACGCAGGAGTGCCTGTGCTGCCAGGAGAGGCAGGAGAGAGAGGTCCCTCCCCTGGAGCTCACAGCTGCCAGAAGGGAGAGGGCTAGAGGAGAGGAGGAAATCCTCCTCTCCCCCCAGCCCCACTGCAGCCTGTCTGTACTGCTGGGGGTGGGGACGGACATGCAGAGGTGGCATGCAGGGCTGGGAGAGAGATCTGTCCTTGAACATTGGTGGAGCCATTTGAATATTGCTGGAGCAGGGGGGCCCATATAATTCCCCTGGCCCCTCACCTTCCCACACCCCAGACCTCAACCTGTTTCATACTCCAAGCCTGTCAGCCCCGCCCCATTAATTTTGTTATGTGCATCAATACAGAGGTGATTTGTCACATATCACTTCCATATTGGTGTGCATAACAAGATCCATTTCACACAAGTTGATATGCTAAGTTAAATATTTTTCTTATGCTAGTGATATTGTGCAATATAAAAAAGCTGTTAAACGCTTACTGGTTCCAGTCCATTTTTATGTTATTTTAAAAAATATACATTAGCTTACAAAACAGGTATGTGGGGGGGGGGAGTCTGGTCACCTCAAAAACTAACTTGCCACCCTTGGTGAGGATGCATACTGCATATTTTAGCTGATATCCCTCTAGATCCCTCTATTTCTGGCTCATATCTGAGAGCACAGATACATTCCTTTCATTTTCCAGCTCACCATACATTTTTGCACTACCAGCTAAAACACACTAATCTCTAGCAGGATTCATTACTGACCAGAATATTAGATTATTTAGCTACCTTTCTGTGCCAGAAACCAGGGTCTGTCTCTGCCCGTTCACCCTTCTCTGAGACAGGAATACAGTCGGAAAGAGCAGTTCCAAAATACACCAGCCTTGCACCTCTGTCATCCCTCTTGCACGTGGCCCACCAGGGAACCTCCAACCTATTTCTGTTGCCTTATCCAGCCCCTCCCCCCATCTCGACCGCTGCTCACATCTCTCTAATCTCCTCTGACTCACCAAAACCCTTCCCAAAGGGTTCCCTTGGCCAGGTTCTCCCAAAGCTGCCTCCCTCCAATACTCACAACCCCCTTTCCTCAGGCCTTGCCCCAAATCACTCTCAATGGGTCCCCCCATCCCTCTCCCTTTCACACCCTCCAGGCTCCTTTTTCCCCTCACCTGGTGCAGCAGCCTCAGCCCCGGCCCAGCAGCCCTGTTCTGTTTGTATTGGAGGTCTGTTCCCATAGTAACTGCTGCCGGTGCAGCAGGCAGTGAGAGACAGGCTGGGAAAAGCAATTGCAGCAGAACTTGCTGGGTGGGGTGAGGGAAGGGGAGAATTGGTGGGCATGAAGGCACATCCAGGCTGAGGTTTTCTTCAGGGGGAGGGGGAATAGGAGGTACCTCCTTGCTCTCTCTGGCT